GTGCTCACCAGGCAAGTGCTTGTAACTTTGCGCTAATGAAAACTAAGCTGGTGGTCAGAGCTCCACTTTCCAGGCTCTGGTGTCCTCAAGCTGCTCTAGCAAGACATCCCATAAAAGCCGGGGTGCCCCACACTATCATCACCGGGGTGGCCTCAGCCACCCAGCGCCGCCCACACTGCCCTCTCCCCGCCCTCGCAATCACACACAGGCTACTTTCACACCGCGCACCGCGCCAGCTTCGTGGGGAAAAGGCCCCTCCGCGACTGCGCGCGCTCACCTGCAGCACGGGGAAGCCACACAGATACAGCGTTTCTGCGCGCAGTAAATGGCAGTAGTTACATCGACTTCCAAAAACATCAATTTCTTCAATATTGGGGAACAGAGAAAATGCTCAGATGAGAAGGGGAACAACCGAGAGGGGAGGGAGAAAGCAAAGAAGGGACGGGAAAAAGGATAGAAGGGAAAAATGGAAAGGTTTTATCATAAAGAAGGGAAGAGAGGTTGGAGGGCGGAAGGGGAATGGGAAGAAGCAGCGGCCTGACTCATCAGGTACAGGGCACGCTCCTTCCTGGTGAATGCTACCATTATGTGCATCTAAAGTGCACCAGTAAGATAAAGACATTTCTAAAATCCCGTTTCTGTAACACGGACCATCCAAGATTGTTCCCCAAATTTGAATATGAGATTTAGAAAAGTTTTATTTCCAAGTAATTTTAGGTTTTTTTTTTTTACAGTCAAGTTTTAGAGAACATAATTTAAATTTTCTCATTTATTGTCTAACAAAGAAATACAGTCCTGTGTTAAATAAATAAATTTGAGAAAGAAAATGCTTTTTCCAACAGAGTGTCCAGTGAATTACTCTTCTTGACAAAAGACTGACATGAGATAGGATAAATTTGATTTGAAATTCTTAAGTGTCTACATATTTTGGCATTTTTTCAGGATCATACTAAAATGTTATGAGAAATCAGGAGGACCTCAAAGTCAAGGTATTTAAAAAGAAAGAAGTTTTTACTTGGAATTGTTTATCTTCTTATTAGGAACTTATTTTTATTTAAATGAAACTCATGAATAAAACCTACCTTGTGTGATAAAAGTTGAAAACTTATGAATTGTTTTAGAGGTTTTAAACTTTTGGGCAGATGTGAACAAATGGGAATTACATGTCATCTTAGCATCCTCACGGGAAATCAAAGTTCAGATTTACTTACAAAAAATCAACAGGCAGGCTGGAAAGCTATCTCAGTGGCAGACCACTGCTTGGAATGCCGGGGCCCTGGGTTCACACCCCAGCATGGCAAACAAACAAACAAAAAAAAACAAAAAAACCCCAGCATATGACATCATAATTTATCTTGAAGTTTAAAATTGCAAGTGATATAAGAATGAAGCAAAATTAAACGTCGATCAACATGCTGCACAGATAACTGGCCTATTTGGCCAGGCTGCTTTCTCACCCAGACTCCTCACCTTCAGTGTCACGCTCTCCAATGGCCCCGCAGCTCCGCAGCCACGAGTCTCGTGCAGGCTGACTGCAGGAGGTGGATCTGTCTAAACCGGAGCTGTGCCCACATCACTGAAGGGTGGGAGCAAGTCCCACACACAGGCCAGGAGTGAGGCAGAGGGGGGAGACGGCGAGGACGAAGGGAGACAGGGGCACAGGAGAAGGGAAGAGTAGAGGTGCCTGTCTGGTGGTACTGCAGGGGTCTGCACCAGGCTCTGACTCTCGGTAAGAAGCAGCTGGAGACAAGGGACCACAGAACAGAGGAGGGACCAGGCAGTCTTGGGCTTCCAAGATCATTGTGGCTCTCCACTCACCACCTCACTCTCTGCTGTGCTGAGCTGGGCGCCACTCCTCTCACCAGCGAACACTTATCTTGGACCCGCTGGAACATTAGGACACAGGGACGAACCCTAAGCAAAGTTCTTTTTCTTGCAAAAGCTCTCACTGCTTTTGTTCATTCCAACTGGTGACCACCGATAGCATGCAACATTCCGCAGAATGACAGGACACCAGTGGCCACTGTACGATGGCCCCACCTGCTACCAAGAGGCGGGGCTGACATGTGTTCCCTGCAGAGTAAGGAGAATTTAAGGAAGGACGCTAAGATGCCATCCCGAACACACATGGTAGCTATGGGGTGGCCATCACTGCTGTGGTTTTAAGGGGTGTGTGCCAGCAACCCCTGCATTAGCACGCTCTGATGATGGCATGGGGCAGAAGGCAGAGCTGGCTTCTCTAGCAGATAGCTCACCCAGTCCCTTTCCACTTCACAGGAGGAGCCACAGGGCCCACTCACCTCCATGAGAGCCCTGCTCTGTGGTGTGTGTGTGTGTGTGTGTGTGTGTGTGTGTGTGTGTGTGTGTACCTTGCTACCACCATCTCCCAGCAAGGCTTCCCACCGCCAACAGACTAGACCTTCCCTAACCCCTGGCCTCTGTCCTTCCTCCTCGCTTCCGGAGCCTTTAGGGAAACAGCCACCCTTACCTGGTACAGCACACATGCCTGGGGCACTGTGACTCTTGTCACATAATACTTCTATTACTCATTCTGAAGTACTTGTGCGTCTCCTACCAATTCAGCCCCACGTCACAAAATTTCCAACAAGGCAGTCTGGCCCGTTCAGGAGCATTAATACACATGCTGAACTCCCAACCATGAAGCAGCCCTTTCCTGGCCACAGGGAGACTCTGCCTCAAATGTCACTGTAGCTGCAGCATGAAGAAGGAAGGTTGGAAGGGGACAGGGCACAGGAGGAGGAAGAGAGCTTCATCTGCTGGCTTGCTCTGAGCCTGTTTGCTTCAACGATTTTTCTGGACCACACAGATGCCACACAAAGATGCCAAATGCCACACAAAGATTCGGGGATTTAGAGATGATTCTATTTTGACCCATTACTCTAAATAATTGAGAGGTGACAACATAGTATGATTTTCTGGCATATATTTAAAACATTGAATTTAAAAGTACTTTGGGTCAGTACTATTTTCTTATAGCCTTGGTTATATTCATTTTATTAACTTTACATGCATGACATAAAGAATTTCTATAAGTGATGCCATTTTACATAGCTCAGACACTACAAAACTTCAGCTCTTTCTTTTACAATAAATTATATTCAGAGCATGTTCAGACTACATTAATAAACAATGAGTACAACATTAATTAGTGTATGTCAAATTTTTAAAACAATTTATCTTTTAAAGACAAAAGTTTTTAGAGGGTAGTACATAAATTACAAATAGCAAAAATTTTGAATTTATTCATAATATATACATTAATCTAAATTTCATAGTTGGGACTAGGAGTATGGCCCAGTGAAGCAGCACTTGCCTAGCACGCACAAGACCCAGAGTTCCATCTTCAGAACTGATATAAATTAGTTAATTAAACTTTTATCTAGAAAATATAAAGAACTTTTTAAAAAAAAACAGGCCACCCAAAATTCAAAGACCCAATCCAAAAACGAGCATCTGAGATGAATACACAGTTCTCAGGTAAAGAAATACAAAAGGAAAATAAATATATGAAAAAATGTTCAACATCATTGGTCATTAGAGAAATGTAAATTAAAACCACATTGAGATTCCATCTCACCCCAGAAAGAATGGCCAGGATCAAGAAAACCACCAACAACAAATGCTGGAGAGACTATGGGGAAAAAGGAACTCTCCCGCACTGTTGGTGGGAGTGTAGACTGGTGCAACCACTGTGGAAATCAGTTTGGAGGTTTCCTCAAAAATCTGGGATTGGAAGTCCTGTTTGACCCAGCTATTCCACTTCTGGGCATATTCCAGAAGAAGTGAAAACACACCCAGTCATGCATGTGCACCCATGTTTATAGCAGAACAATTTGTCATAGTCAAACCTTGGAAACAACCCAAATGCCCATCAACTGAGGAATGGATAAAAAAGATGTGGTATTTTTATACAATAAGAGTATGGCTCAGCTATAAAGAAGGATCACACTGAGGCTTTTATAGGTAAGTGAATGCAAGTTGAGACCGTATTCAGAAGTAAAATAAATCAAATTCACATGTGTTAATACCCTACTGTAAGAAACTGAAAGAGCAAATAAGATCCAAAATCTTCAATAAGTATTGTGAAAGGGTAAGAAACAGCTCAAAAGGGAAAAATAACTCAGGGAAAAGAAAATAGATGTAAAATTGTAAATATACACTTAAGATAGTTAAGATGATGGTACTACTAATTCTATTAGTTCCTGGAGCAATACAGTTAACACTCATAGGATTAGATCAATTTTACATGTCCATATCTAGTAATCTGAGCAGCTCTTTTGAAAATAACTATGCAAAATAAACACCTTTGTTAAGTTCCTACCACCTTGTTTTGAAAGCCTATATTGTTACTGTTTTGGGTTTTTTGTTATTGTAGTTTGTCTCTCCTGTTTCTTGCTTTTCTTGCATTTGTTTGTTTTTCCCTCTTTAAAATAAAACTTTAAAAATTAATTAATTTCCTATTTGGCCATGCATTTTCCTTTACTCTATTACTAAAGGTTTTTAAATAGTGAGTACTGATACAGTATCAATATTGATACTACTTCTCTTTGGTTATTGTATTCTTATCAGCAATTATTTTACTAGTATTTTTCATGAGCAATTATTTATTACTGATTCAGCCCATATCTCTTCAAAAATCCATTTATTTTTGTATGTATTTAAATAACATTGCAGAGTTGCACATCATCTTTACTAATTTATTTATAATTCTTTCTAGAATGTGTGTCTGGCATCCCTTTTTGATGAACAGACCATTGATAGAGATTTTAAAATACCCTAAAACAGAATGCTTTTTTAAAAACAGAACACATAGTGCTGTTGACTTCAGCAAACTCAGATGGACATTTAGTTTTAGTTTCCTCACATATCATAAGACGAAAAGTAATTGTTCTATGTTCAGACGTTATTTGCAAATCTAAAAGATGACGAATTAACACATACAGAAACCTCAGTCCACAACTGCACACGCATTTCCTTTATTTAGAGAAACATCGGTCTAGGCTCGTAGCCCAGCATCCAGCACAACTCTTGCTCAGCACCTGCAGGGCCCTGGCTCCACCCCGAGCACCCCGCCAGCTGGCCAATCTGTCCCATGTGTACCGTTAATGATGTGTCATACCTGGCAGTCGTCCACCTTCGTTCTTATCACTCCTTTCATGTACTCTTTGTCCATGGTAGGAGAGACGCCAAAACTATTTCCCATGCACAGTATTTCTGCTTTTCCATTTGGCTAAGTCACTTCCACAGAACCATTGAGAATCACAGACCAGGAGTCCAGCTGGTTAGAAGGAGTGGAAACAAAGCGGAAAAGAACACTGTGGTCACACAGCACTGAACGCCCCGAGTTCTAGCCCCAGCACTGCAAAACAAAAACCTTCTGAAAGCACTATCAGTGTACCATATGGAATGCGATACATAATACAAAATAGAACAATAGGACCTGGAGTATTGTGACAAAATGTATCTCACAATTCTTGATGGATTATTATTATTGATTTTATTATTAATGTTTTTTCAAGGAAAAAGTAAGACTTGGATTTCCCTCTGAGTGTTGTACCGAGAGGCCCTGTGAGCAGAGAAACGTTTACCAACCTCTTCACCATCATTAGCACGATGGTCCCTGCTGTCTCCACCACAGCAAAAACCATGACAGCACAGAGCTCTTGCCGCACCGACATCGTCATGTTCGCAAAGGCAGGCAGCTGGTGCATGAATTCCAGAAGTTGTTCTTAAAAGCAACACACACTCCATGTCAAAATGACAGCTTTTATTAAAAACAAGCCTTCAGAAAGAATGCTTTATGCTGGTGCGTGCCTGTAACCCCAACTTCCCAGCAGACTGAGGCAAGGGGATTCCAAGTTTGAGACCAACCTCGGCAACTTAGCAAAACCTTGATGGCTCAAAATAAAAGAGGTTGAGGCTATGGCACAGCATTGGAATAAACAGCAGCAACCCACACTTTAAATGCTTTAAAGTTCCATCTTTGCAAATGCTGTACAACCCATCTATTGATTCAGTGTAAGTTGAACGTCCAGCACGTTTACAGAGGCTGGTCGCCATGGTCATGGCCATCTCCCCTTGCTGATTCAGTAGCAACAGTTGACATCCCAAATTGTAAAGGCTGTGGAAGAGATCACTAAACTTCAAATGGGGACTTCCAATTACACATGAGCTGTGATCTTGTTAACCACATACTAAGAGCTGGTTGAAATGAAATGAAACTCAGAGTTTTCCAGAAGGTCCATTCAGCAGGTCCATTCTGGAGCTTTCTAAGTAGGTAGACAACCAAATCATTTAGTAAAAACAACTGCTTTTAATGCAAAAACATTCCAGGGGAGATTTTCTGTGGGTCAGGGAAATTTATAAAAATTTGACATTTAAAAATTTACAATACAATATGACAAATATAAATGAGAACGGATACAGCAGTCCTTGTCCTGCAGACAGGCAAGAAGAGGAACTGGTTCCTCTTCCACGGGGGACGTCACACAGGAGCGCAGCTGTGGACACAGCCGGCTGCTGACTCCAGGGCTCCATGCCTCTCACTCTCAAGACTCTTTACTCCCTGCCCACTGGCTCTCCACCTCCCTCATCCCTGGCTCTACGACATATGTGTTCCTTGTTTCCTAGGGAGGAAACTGGAGCCAGAAACACACAGGAGAGGACTCAGAGCTGCTGCCTCTGAGGCACATGCTGGGTTCTGCAGCAGGTGGTGAGGGCACGGGGCAGACCTAGGACCTGCTGGCTGTGCCACTTCTGGCACAGGATTAACCCCAGGCAGTTACCTCACTTGCAAGTAACAGCACATCTACTTCACTAGATAGAAGTAAGAATCTAATACAGAACATAGCCCCGTCAGAGGAATCCTCAACGCATGAGAACTGCGACTGTCACCATGGCAGCTGAAGCACCCACCTCTCAGCAAGCAGCACAGTGCCCTTTCCTTGTCACCCACATAATGGAACTGTCCCTATGCACCTCCCTCTGGAGAAAACTGAGGATACACTGCTAAAGACAGGAAGCTATGTTCCTCGAAGATGCTACCCTTCCAGAAGGACGGAGTGATTGCCTTGGCCCAGCTGGGCATCCTCGAGTCCTCACTGCTCCCGTCCCGCCTCCATGTCGCATCCCCAGCAAGGCTGTGGCCATAGGAAGTGCGACTCCATGAGCAGAACCCAGGAAGCCTGTCCCACAGGTCCGGTTCTTTAGCCTCACCCAGATGTATGTATGTGTTAGGCAATCAGTTTATTTTGCAACCAGCACTTTTTCAAAAAAAAAGAAGAAAAAATTCAAAACATATCACTCTGAGAAAACAAATTCTGCTCAGTGCAACATTTATTTCTGGAATAAGTAGGTGTGTCTGTGTTCTGCTTCAACATAGATTTAGTCCTGGGGACAGTCACTGCAGGAAATGACCCACACCTATCATATAAAAGGTCAGACATGCCGGGCGCCCTCCCAGGGGGACCCCATACACAACATTTCCCTCCCCCAGGAGCTGCTGAATTTCCATGGGCAAGGAGATTCTTGGCTTTGAAGAAAACTCAAGAGTACAAATTAATCATCTGCCAGGAACCCTCTACTCTAACAAGTTGGAGAAACAGAAGTCAAGTCATTATAACACATCTGACTGGAGATGAAGTACTCGGAAAACAAGGGACTCCACCAACATACCACCACCACGTCCCAGCACCTCCTGCACACATGGGCTTTGCTTTCTGATGGACTCTGCCTCTGCTGGGGGCCTAGGCAGTGCTGATCCCAGTGTCCCCCAGTGTCCTGCACTCAGGGTGGAGCTCAGGGAGTGCCCCATGGAGGGCGGTGGTTGCTGTGCTCCCCACTGCAGTGTTTCTACCCTGAAAAGTCTCTCCCTCTGCCCATGGCTGCCAAAGTGAACCCCTTTCCACGGGTCACCCCCTGCCACACTGTCCTGCCTCAGAGGTGCCAAAACATACTGCACCCCTTTAAGTGGTAGTGTGGGTGCCTGTACCAGGGAGGACAAGTGTGTGCAAGACAGGGTCGTGAAAGCAATCTGTGATACAGGAGCAGTGACAGGCACTGGAGAAGCCCAACAGGCAGAAAGATCTATGTGCAGTCAGCACAGGTAACAAGAGGGACAGGAAAGGTCCAGCAACAGCAGATGCACATAGTGCTCCAGGCTCCGGTGAAAGGCCAGGAGGGCACAAAGATTTAACCAGGTAGCAGCTGAGAGGGTCTGAGACGCAAGCCTTCAGCAACATCCAGCCACTGCTTCATGGTAATTTCTCCCCAACTTCGTTCCTGGTGGGGGAGAGAGCACCTCAGTGGAAGGATTCCCTACAGCCCATCTCTGAAAACGCAGTCAGTGTAAACCAGAAGCACTTGGCTTACACTGACAGTGCCACAGGGGTCACAAAGCTAAAGGGACCAAGAAGGCTTTGGACAGAACTCTGGAGGGTACTTGGTCCATCCTGAGGATGGAGATAGAGGCCGAGACAGGGAGAGGTGAGTGACACTACCCTTCTATTTAATAACCGATTTACGACATCAGAGGCCTATGTTGGTTTGAGTGATTCAGTTTCCTATTAAAAATTTTTACTAAAGAAACACTCTAGTTTTTGGTGGCACATGAAGCCAGGAGAAAAGGAACTGCGAGATCAAAGTTCTCATCTACCTTAATATTTCAAGCCTTCAAAACAATACATGTTACCGCCACTTGGTAAATGAGTCTACACAAGGACCACGAAGTCCCTTCTTGAATGGATGGAAACAAATAGATGCACAAGAATCCACCACAGCCTAAAAGGAATTTTTTCCCATGCAGTGGCCAAAAATACAATTATATTACTAATTCCATGTGTTCACCTTAAACACTGATGTGTGCACATGCACACACACACACAATCTCTCCTCCTCATCTTAGGGGGTAAAGGGAGTGGGTGGGAGGAGGCATCCACAAGCAGGCCCTGGGTTCTTTTAAAGGGCGTCTGCCATAACCGACACTGGCAGGTACCTCGGGGCTACCAAGAGCTACAGGGGCTCTCATGTGGCCCTTTTTAACTGTACTAGAACACATTTAGTGCTGTTTACACTCCTTGCAGGGAACTAGAATATGTGTGTAATACATCTTGATTCCTTTTTCTCATTGCTCTCCATTCCTTATTTTTTTTCTTTTGGTTCACATTTCCTTGTTTTTTTTTTCATAGAAGATGATCTTTATTGGTGCATTTTAGCTATGCATAATGACTGCATTCATAATAGGGAATTTGTACCTGTACCTGAAATAACTTCACTCTTTTTCCCCTGTTCTGTTACCCTCCCTTCAGCCTTTCTTCTCCTTCTTGTTGACAAAAGCTTTGTTTCCATTTTTCCTTCACCCCTCTTTTCATTAGGGGAAATGGTCTGTATTTCTCTTTCTTGGTTGGACCCTCTAGTTTTGGTATCAGGGTAACGCTTGCTTCTAGGAATAAATCTGGAAATACAGTTCCCCTGTCAGTTTCAGTAAAGAGTTTGAGAGGTAATGATATTAGGTCTTGTCCAAATATCTTGCAGAATTCAGCCATGGATTAATCAGGACCTGTACTTAGATTTGTAAGTTTTTAATTATATCCTTGATTTTACTCACTGTTAATGGTTCATTTAGACTTTTTGTATCTTTCTGATTCAGCTTTGGTAATTCCTGTGTATCCAAGAATCTGTCGATTTCTTCTGCATTATCCATCTTACTGAAATACAAGTTCTGGAAGTGAGTATCTTTGTTACTTTTCTCTCACTGCTGAGACAAAACACCTGATACCTCAAATTGAGGAAAGATTTATTTAGCTCACAGTTTGTGGAGGTTTCAGTCCATAAGCAGCTGGCTCCAAGGTAGAGTGGTGTTGAAGAGGGGCAAGAGTTCATGGCAATCAAAGACAGCAAAAGCAGCAAGAGCAAAAAAGGGCAAAACAAGTCTCTTTCTGTCCCTTTTATTCAGAATGCTGGGATTAGGGGTGGTGCCAATCCAATCAGTGGATTGATTCAGCAATCTCCCAGCATCCTTAATCGTGATTTGCCCTAAAATTCAGGCTGGTTTATGTCCAGACCCATTCAGCCTACAGCAGTTACTGTGCTGTCTATGGGCTTTGGGGTCCACTAGGTGGAGTCAGCAGTGGTTATGAGTTTTGAGCTCAGTTAATCCCTCTCCAACATGGTTCCTGGCCAATCGTCCTCTCCTGGGTGATGTCTGAACCCGCACCACTCATCAGCCACTGCAGTGCTCCATTCCCTCTGCTCTTTTCCGTTGCTGCATCTCTCTGTGGGGGCTACTGAGTAGCCAGCATTCACCACACGACTGCAGGTTTGAGCTGCCCCTCCCACACACTGAGTCTGGGCTCCAGGAGAAAGTGCCACCTGCCACCTTCTCCTCCTCTGCTGAAGTTTCCCTTTGCTGTCCCGATGGGCTTCAATCCTCGTACTTCAGATCCTTCCTGGTCCCCAAGACTCACTGCCCTACTTCTTTTTTGTCACGTTGCTATATTCCAGTGTCTGGACACCAAATCTCAGAGGCTCTTTGTTGCTCACCACTTTGCCATCTTCCCAGAAGTCCTCTCCATCCACCTCTTGATCCCTTTTCCCTTTAGGAAAGCTCCAGCCCCCTACTTTCTATCAGCTATCTTTTTCTTTACCCTTTATTTGTACTTTGAATTTTTCATATAAGGGAAACCATGCAATGTTTAAGCTTGTGTGCCTGACATTTCACATAACATTGTTTCAAGGTACATCCATTTTGCTACACGTGATTCAAACTATCTTTCTTTGTAGCTTTATTTTGAGGGATATAGACTATGAGATCTTTCAAGTTCTCCTTAGGAAAAAACCACATACTTCACTTGAGTTTAGCCAATTTATTTCTTTAAATAAATGTGCATTTGATTGCAGCAAGTGTCAGCATTATCACCACCTATAAGGTAACTGATGTTCAAATAAATGCTAATCACTATAGAAATTATACTGATGAGCATATTACAAAGAAAAAAGGGAAGAAAAGAAAGAGGGAAGACAAGACAAAAAGTGTTGCTGGGCCTGGTGGCCCACAGTCCGAGCCATGATCTGGACAGTATTGCTTAAACCATGCCCAGGCAACATCATGAGATCCTTGTAAACAGGAGAGGAAGGACAAAAAAAAGGAAAAGGGGAGAAAGAACAAATGAGCAGCTTTGGATTTACTTATCAGAATCAAAGCACAAATTCTGCTTTCCAGAAATCTGGGGAGAGGCTTCTCAGATGTAAGGTGAAAGTCACAGATTTCTAGGAATGACCTATGTGAATACACACTAGTGGCCCACATTCCTCCCACAAGTCTCCCCAGATGAACAGGTTACAGAGCATATGTGTGTCCATGCAAAGGGTCGCTTCTGAATGGGTCCACGCATAAGCAATAGCCTACCAGTGAGTCCATCTGTGAGCCAGGCTGCTCCACTAAGAAGGAAATTAAACCCCTTTTAATTTCCCTCTTTCCTTACAACAGAGGGGTTTTTTAAAAAACAGCAGCAGGCCATGATCAAATAACAAGAGATTAAAAACACAATTTTGGAGCGTAGAAGTCAAATGAACACTTGGTTAGCACCCATGAGAACGTGAGATCTGAAGGCTTTGCAAGTAAAACTGAGACTCATCCGGCCTCGCCTGCCCCTGGTCGCAGCCCTTGCTCCACATCAGCTGCTGGCTCCTGTGTAACTTGCTCCTTCACGATCTCCTCATGGACCTCGACCCAGCAAGGACCCTGGCACCCTGCTCAGTGAAGCTGCCATGAGCTGGCCGAGCGCTCCGTGGAAGAGGCACTTGGCGCTGCTGGATACAGGAGAGCTGAGGGACCATTATTGCATCGCAGTGCTCATCCAGACAGTCACAAACTTCCACAGAGCAAAGGATGGTGAATGAACTTTGCACATCTCACCCAGGTTTTGATTTCCCATCCTCGATTGCTAGTACATATACATAATTTAAATGCTTGTCTTACACACACACACACACACACACACACACCCTCCCACATACAATCCCACAAACACAGCCACCTCGTTTTTCTTAAGAACACCTGGGCTCAAGAGGGCTGGGAGCGCAGCAGGACCACCAGGTGGTCTGGCTCAGGCAGGCATGGACAAGGGCCCAGAGCTCCGGAGGGAGAGGGCGCTCCACAGGCAGCATCTGCACTGTACCTCTCTAAGTAGCAGCCAGAGTGTAGCCACTCTGGTGCACAGCCCCTCAGCCTTGCCTGGGCTCCTGCTGTCCCCACATCACAGGAGAAGCAGCAACCCCTGCCTGCTATGAGCTGAGGGGACCAGGACCCACAGAAAAGTTACAGGAAGACAGCTTCTCTGGATGGCTGCTCCTGACTTCCTGGTGGTCATAAACTTCATAAAGGATGAAGTGACCTGGGGAGGCGTTTTCCTAGGGCATTTCCCTCAGAGTGTTACTGTTACATTCATAAGGGCATGAAGTAAAACTGACCTTTTCCAACACTTTTCCAGTAAATACTCATGTTTACACAATGGAGATTAATAAACTTCCTGGAAGCTTCTTGGGCCTGCGGCGCCATCTGCCGGCTTCCATACTCACCAATGTCTTCCTGGGTCCTGTGGATCAGGTCCTTCTCCAGACAGTCCCACACGATGTCCCTGCTCATCAGCAGGTCCAAGGCCCTCTGGATGTCCTCCTCGTCATCCTCATCCTCGGAGTCCACTGCCTTTTCTGGTAACCCGCTCAAGTCCATATCACCAGCTTCACTTTCTGTGGCCTGAAGATAGGCAAAACAATTTTTAAAAGAACTATTTAAGCAGATCAATCTTTGCAGCTCCGAAGAGAAAACAACAATTTTTCAAAAGTTTGATTTTTCTGTAACTATGTTAAATGGATCCAGCACCTCACAACTACTCGCCAAATGTTATAAAAAAGAATTACTTCAACAAAACATGAGTGATTTTATCTACATGAGTGATTTTATCTATTAAAATGTAAATCAGAATCAGTAATTTTTATCTCAGTAATTCTGACTTCTTACCTGTGTGGAATTTGAAACACAGAACAAAGAAGAAAAGGATAGTATTTGCTTTCAGTAAGTTTTTCAAGAAAATGGTTAAGATAAGGGCCTCAGGGAGATGAACTGTTAATTCTAAGCAATTCCTCCTCCAGAAAAATTAGAGGAGTTTCCTAATGCCAAGAAGACAGGACCACTTTCCCCCTATTAGAAAGTCATAAAATATGAACTGTAAACTAATGGTAACCTGATAAATACACAAAACAAGCTCAAACCAAGACCTAGATTTCTTTTGGGGGGGGGGTGGTGAGGATTGAACTCATAACGTTGCATTTTCCAGGCAGGAGGCACTTATACCACTGAAGTAAAACCTCCAGCCCAACCTGGGTTATTCTAACAACCACTCTCGAATTCCAAGTCAAGCCTGAAGGCAACACATCTCACCATCAACTGCTTCCCAGGCAAAGGCAGAGGGGAAAGGACCCCAACATGTGGACACACTCGTGGTGCCAATTGCAGTCTCTCCTGCCCAGCTGTCTGCAGACCAGACTACTGTCTTTTTAGGTCAACCCACAGCCTTTCCTCAAGGGGTCAGCAACCTGTAAACTTGCATCATATTGGACTTAGTTAAAATCTTAGTTAACATAAAGACAGATTCACTCCGGGGAGTAAGAATGAACTGAATTAAAAGCTAATGGCATTTCCAACTGAAATACTAAAGTCTGTAAAACTTAACATTAACTTTGTAGAAAATGTGTATTACAAAGTTTTATTAACTTTATAAAATATAGCGAGCAGGCAGGTGCCTTCTATCCATGGAGCCCAGCTTGTTTGGGACCCTCGCACCGTTTGGGTGCCATGGAACAGCTAGGTGGGTCTGGGGTGCCTGCATCTGTTTCAACATTCAGGCTGTGCATGGTGAACTGTGGAGTTCTAAGCAACCAGGCTGGTGCCCACTTTCCCCAGAGCCCAGCTTGTTTGGGACTGTGGAGTTCTAAACAAGCAGGCAAGGGCCACTAGGTCCAGAGGCCCGGCGGCTTGGGGGAACTGGGTGCCAGAGTCCCACGAGCTGAGGGCATAGACATGGATTTCCAACAGACCCTGAGGAAGCTTTCGAATAACACTTGAAACACAGGAATATAGGAAAATGACAAAACGAAAGACCAAGTTACAATCTCAAACCTCCATCCCATCCCAAGAAGCTTAGGAGCGATGTATATAGAAGAATATATATACAATACACCTCAACTATCAAACATAATAGTTAATGAAATAAACAAGAAACTCCGGGAAGCTTTAAAGGAATTCAAACTAGAAATAATTTCCCAGGTAAAAGAAGAAGTGATAAAAGAAATGAAACAGATACTGAACATACCTAAAGAAAACACAGTTAAAAACTTGGAGGAACTAAACAAAAAGATAGAAGCCCTAGATGAGCAATATAAGAAACAAAGAGAGTACATAAAGCAGATGCACAGAGATATACAGGAAATCAAAAATTCCACTGAAAGCTGTAAAAACCACCTCAATGAAAGTGAAGATAGAATCTCAGACCTGGAAGACAAGATTGCAGCTAGTGAACAGGAAAAGAAAGATCCTTTAAAAAAAACAAAGAATCAGGAAATAACAATTCAACAACTGCAAGATGACTCAAAAACAACATAAGTTTGATAGGGATTAAAGAAAAAGAAGGAGGTGACATAAAGGATGTCAAGAAAATATTTAGAGAAGTAATAGCTGAAAATTTCCCAAGCATGAGATCAGAAACCAACATCAGGTTCACTAAAGCATATGGAACTCCAACTAGTCATAAACAAAATAAAACTACACCCAGACATATAAGAATCAGCATCCCAGAAACCCAACAAGATTACATAATTAAAAGCTGTCAGAGAGAAAAGACAGATCACTTATAAAGGAAAACCTATCAAAATCACAGCAGACTTCTCAGCAAAAAATAAAGTCAAGAAGAGCATGGAGTGAAGTATCCCAGATCCTAAAGGAAAATGATTTCCAACCTAGACTGATGTACCCTTAAAAACTGTCCTTCAAAATTGATGGTGAAATAAGATACTTCCATGAAAAAGAACAGCTGAAGAACTTCATGATCACCAAGAAAACCCTGCAAAAAATATTGAAAGACAGTGTAGATACACTTAGGAAAAAACCACTAAGCAAAGCAGATAATAGAACAGAACAAAAAGATAAAGATGCAACAGCAGAAAGATAACATGTCAACAATAAGCCAACATATAACAGTTATAACCATTAATGTAAATGATCTCAGTACTCCAATGAAAAGAAACAGACTGGCAGAATGGATCAAGAAACAAAATCCAACCATATGCTATCTACAAGAAACCCATCTAACCCAGAAGGATAATCACAGACTGAAAGTCAAAGGATGGAAAACAATACTTCATGCAACAGGAACCCCCCCAAAAAAAGCAGGAGTAGCCTTCCATTTGCAGACAATGTGAACTTTAAACCAACAATGATCAGAAGAGACAAAAAAGGTCACTACATACTGGTTAGGGGAAAACTTCAAGAGGAAGAGACAACTATCTTAAATAAATATGCACCAAATTCCAGAGCACCCAGTTATATAAAACAAGTATTAACAAAATGAAAAATCAAATTATCAGTAATACATTTGTAACAGGAGACCTTAACACAACATTGATACCAAGGGACAGATTAACCAGACAGAAAATCAGCAAAGAAATAACAGAACTGAATCACACATGGGAACAAATGGACTTGATAGACATATACAGAGTGTTCCATCCATCCACATCAGAATATACGTTCTTCTCAGCAGTACATGGGTCATTCTCTAATAAAGACCATATATTAGCTCACAGACATTTTTAAAAACATGCAAAAGGGTTGAAATTATCCCTTGCATGTTATCGGATCATAGCACATTTCTATTAGAAATTAATTATAAAATATACTGCAAAAATCCCACAAACACATGGAAACTGAATAACATACTCTTGAGTAATCAGTGGGTCACAGGGGAATTTAAAGGAGATATTAAACAATACCTACAAGAAAATGAAAATACAGATACAACTTACTCAAATCTGTGGGATGCAATGAAAGTCATCATCAGAGGAAAATTTATTGCACTGAGTTCCCACATCAGGAAAACAGAATGAATACAAATAAATAATATGATGCTACACCTCAAACAGCTAGAAAAAGAAGAACAAGTCAAGCCCAAAGCCAAAAGAAGAGAGGAAATTGCAAAAATCATAGCAGAAATCAATGCAATAGAGACTAAGAAAACAGTCCAAAGAATGAATGAATGAAAGAGATGGTTCTTTGAAAGGATAAATAAAATCGATAAGCCCCTAGCCAACCTTATTTAAAAAGGGGGGAAAAAAGCTCAAATTCATGCAATAAGAAATGAAAAGGTAAAATCACTACAGACTCTATAGAAATACAGAAGATCATCAACACCTATTTCGAAAACCTCTACTCTCAAAGGTTTGATAACACAGAAGAAATAGACAGATTCCTAGAAACATATGAAGTACCAAAGCTAGGTCAAGAGGATGTAAAACTGCTGAATAACCCAATTTCTATCAATGAAATTGAAAATGTAATTAAGTCCTTACCTACAAAAAAGACAGGCCCAGATGGATTCACTGCAGAATTCTACAAGAAATACAAAGAAGACTTAATGCCAACACTCCTCAAACTCTTCAATGAAATTGAAAGGGAAGCAATCCTTCCAAAGTTATTCCTGGAAGGCAATATTACTCTAGTACCAAAACCTGAGAAAGACCCAACTAAAAAAGAGAATTACAGACCAATCTCCCTAATGAACACAGATGCAAAAATCCTCAATAAAATATCAGCAAATAGGATGCAGCAAATCATCAAGAAGATTATACACTATGACCAAGTGAGATTCATCCCATGCATGCAGGAATGGTTTAATATATGTAAATCAATAAATGTAATCCACCATATCAATAAAGCCAAAAGTAAGAATCATATGATCATTTCTATAGATACAGAAAAAGCCTTTGATAAGGTCCAACATTCATTTATGATAAGAACTTTACAGAAAGTTGGAATACATAGTCTTTACCTCAATATAATAAAGGCTATCTATGACAAACCAACATCCAGTATCATACTAAATGGCCAAAAATTGAAGCCTTTACTTTAAAATCAGACACAAGACAAGGATGTCCTTTATCGCCACTCCTATTTAATATAGTACTGGAAATACTAGCTAGAGCAATTAGACAAGAGAAAAAAAAGAGGTAAAGATAGGGAAAGAAGATGTTAAATTATCATTGTTTGCGAATGACATGATACTCTATATACAAGACCACCTAAACTACAATAAAAGACTCTTAGGTATAATAAATAAATCCAGCAATGTAGTTGGCTACTAAATCAATACTCAAAAATCAATAGCACTTCTATATACTGACAACAAAATCACAGAGATAGAAATAAGAGAAGCCACACCCTTCACACTAGCAACCAAAAACATGAAATATTTAGGAATTACTCTTATGAAAGAAGTGAAAGACCTATACAGGGAAAATTATAATACACAGAAAAAAGAAATTGAATATGATCTCAGAAAATGGAAAGACATCCCTTGCTCAAAACTCTTATACAGATTCAATGCAGTTCCAATGAAAATAACATCAACATACCTCAGAGATCTAGAGAAATGATTCCTAAAATTCATATGGAGTGATACGATACCTAGAATAGCAAAGACAGTTCTAAGCAACAAAGGCAAGGCAGGAGGCATCACAATCCCTGACTT